ATTACTGGGAAACTAAAGCAGATACAAAATGAATTGCTGATAGAGTTGTTCTTTGAGGCCGTAGTTGTTTGATCAGTGATTTGACGTTTATATATATATTGGCTCCCAGTCACATTTTACATTTTGATCTTTAAGTTGTTCTCACTTCTACAGCTCCTGATCCACGCTGCTGTGAGCTGACCGCTCTGCTGTAGTTCACTGGCCTTTAACAAATACAACCAGAAATGCTTTTATGTGGATGGTTGTCCCTGTATGTCCCTCCCGTTTCCTGGAGATGTTCTTTAGTCTGAGCTGAAGGTGTTTGTCTGTAGAGTAAGAATTAGTAATTAAAGCATGACTGGAATAGATAAATGTTCATTAAAGCTTTGTGCTGTTGGTGGTTGTGTATGACTTTAACATAATACAGTTGTTATCTCCCCAGAGCACCTGAACAAATGCTTAAACTCCAGTGAAATCAAAGGAGTATAAGTATGTGCTAATAAACTTTGAATCAGACCTGCAAAATGCACTCTTGCTAATTTGCACTAACCATTCATACTAGTGTGAATACTTGTGTTGTCTGAATTAACAAGCAAGTGAACACCCAAGCAAAGCTTGTGATTCCCAAGATGTCTTACTAATTACCCTGGCTGTGATTTAATGTTAATTATTTATTATACTTCATTATATTCTGTAGCTCAGTTAGTTCAAAACAAAAACCTGAAATGTTGGAATTATGATCCATCCTTCTGGCACCACGATATTCAATTTTTTTCTAAGTAGGATTTTGTTTTAATTATAAGTTATGTGCTAAAGCTTCATTAATTTATATTACAGAGCTAATTGCAGGTCTCCCCCCCCCCCCTTTTTTTTTTTGACACAAAAATCCTTGAACAAATGGTCATTATACCATGTGAGGGCCAAATTCTGCAGTAATTGTACAGAAGGCAATGGATGAATTGGACTTTATTTGCAAATTTTCCTGCTAAATGGTTGCAGGCCAATTCTGTTTAGGGTTGAAATGGATTTTTTAAGTAATCCTGAAAAGAGAAGAATGCCAGCTTTCATTCCAAATTTGGTATCAACTAAACATGGCCACAAATTTGTAGAATTGAGTGAACTTGTTCTTGAGCTCTGGGAAATGTGGACCGGGTGTTGAGAGAAGGGCCTTAGTGCTGTAGTGATCCAAAAAGAGCCTTTTTTGATTGTGGATGTTTTCAAACATGCAGTGTTTGCCTTCAGAATTTTTTTGGATTGCTCTCAAAACGGACTAAGCAAAATACTCGGTTCCAGATATTCCCAAACTTAGGAGAATTGCAGTTCTTTAGAATGCCCCGTATGTGTTGAGTGCTCTTTCAAACATTATTGTTGTTTCAAAGATTGATTTCTATTTGCATGTGCAATCTTTATCGGGGATGTAGAGGTAAACCCGCATTTGTCCAAAGTAGCCTATACTCTGGCCCAGTTGTGGGTTTCTGGTGTTTACTCTGAAACATCGGGAGCCTGACTGCAATTTGTGTGTTAAATTTCCACAGTTCCGTGTTTTGTGCTGTACTTGACTAGGAATTCACTGGTCTTTTGTTTAGAAAAGCAGCCTCTTAGGTGTTTTGAGCTGGAAATACAAAAATTAGTGTATGGGATGATTTAGGAGACTTATTTCAAGGCACATTGGGAGTTTGTGGCAGCGCTGGGTTTGCAGGATGAGCTCATGAATCTCCAAGCGAAATCTGGATTAGCAAGCTCTACCCAGCCTGAGAAGAAAGAAAACGTCTGCACAAACATCTGTGAAGGGAAACTGATGACTTTCATAAGATCTTAAATAGATTGTACTGAATCAATTATCCAAGTCCTGTACGTTAACCACAGCTGAGACTTTAGCTGGGACCCAGTAAGCTAAAAAGGAGCCTTCATCCTTTCCGAGCCAGCGGGAGTTGTGCCAAGCTGGGCTCGGCTGGAAGTCTTTCTTTGTAGCTCTTGCTGGCTGCCAGTGTGAAAGGTGGATGGAGGCTAAAAATGGCTCGGGAGCGCGGCCGGGTGTACGCAGGGAATAGCAATGAGAATGGCAAAGACGCACTTGGGTTCTCCAGTGAAATGAGAGACCGAGCCTGCAGACGGTATGGAAAGCATCCAAGAGGGTGGAAAACGTGCATCAAACAGGTTATGTGGCTACAACGAGGAACTGCTGCATGAGGAAATGGCAGGAGAAGGAAGCGAGGGAGTGGAGGAAAGAAAAAAACCCACAACCCCAAAACCGAACGATGCCAAGCGAGGGGGGGGGAAGATTCAGCGAACGAGCGAAACGAAGGCAGAGCCTGCAAAGCACCCTGCCGAGCAGGCAGGGGACGGCGGGGGTCGGGGCCCTCGGAGGCGGCTTTCCCTGCCGCGGACGAGCCCCCGGGAAAGGGGGGGGCCG